TTCTATAAGCAAGACGAAATTAATTACACACTCTACATATTGGACAAGACTTTTAGGCAGTCTAACTGCCCAAGTACCCCAACCAATAGTTATACTTTGCACTCAATCCGAGCTTTTTGCACTTGAATGGAATATATGCTTTCCAGGGGTCCGGGAACTTCTCCCCTAACACGGCGTCGCACACGCCGCACCCGCCGCCAACCGCAGAATTGCGATGGAAGTTGGAGCGCGCAATTTGTGAGGTAGGGAGTCCTTTAATTATTTGAATTGGCTGGCCGCTTCCTTCAATTTCAATGCAGTCTTGATCGCCGCTTAATAGGAGGAGTCATCTTAATTAATCAAGTCTAATAAACATGAAAACTAAAAAGAAACAGAAGAAAAAACGATAAAATCCAATGAAAAAGCAAGCCAGTCAAGGAAAAATATCGCGTCCTATCGATTGGCGGGAGGCGGGGTGAGTACGGTAATTGCAGTCACATTCGCCGCATGTCGCAAGGGAGCATGCCGCGATAGGGGAGAAGTTCCGTTACCCGCTTTCCAGACATGGCTTAAATGCCTGATCCCTCGAACGGTAACACAAACTCACCGGATAGCATAATAATTGGATAGCGATCAGTAGTTCGAAAATACCATATCGGAAATACGGTAGCTATAAATCGATCAAGTGATACTAAGATGTTCATTTGACCAATTAATGAACAACCCAAGAATAAAGCTACCGTAGACCATTGAGCCATGCATTCACTTCGAGGTACCATAGCCGTAGAGTCTTGAGATTATAAATCCTAATTATTCTAGTTTATAGAAGAATTTTTTGTGTCACTTACTGATATTCGCATTTTCAAGGCGTCTTGTCATTGCTAACAGAAAACCGAAGGCATAAATAAGATCTCCAAAAGCCATTCCAGCGATAATCACGAATTCACGTCGTCCTCTATTACGTTTCCGTAGAAGAATCGTTAATATGAGCGGTATGTTGGTGACAATTATGACAAAACCTAAATATTGTTTAGAAATTCGTGACGACCTCATAAAATACTGCATTCCTTCCGGATTCCTGGAAATCACTTATTAAGATAGTATTACGGCAAGCGGAGCAAACCACCACACGCATGAACAAGGGATCGCGTCCAAAATCGAACCCCGCCGAGTGGGACTAAGCCTCCCACTCCTCCAGGGTTGGGTGTTTGGTTCCAGACTCGTCTGGGAGGATGAAAGTATTGACTTGTTTATCGTCAGGCCAATACAAGCCATTGTATAGGCTACATATGCATTCGAAACACTACTACAATTCTGAATGGAGGTCGAATGCGTGGATGATCCGAGAAACAAGACCGATAAGGCTTAAGACACCAAAAGACCTAAGACAAAGGTCCATAAGTGTGATAGAACATTAATTTCATTATGAACCTCTTGGGTGTTAAGCATCCTAGGAAAATTCATGACGTAATATTGTCCAGGTAAATCGGATCACACGCTTCAACTCCTATTCTTGCTAATGCCACAACGAGCAGGCAGAAAACCCGGATGTTTTTTTGCAAAGCATCTTTCCACTACTCAGATTACAATTACAACTACAGTTACAGTAATATCGCCTCGGTTCTCGATGGGAAACGAAAACCCGTCTATAGTTACAGTCTGTTCGAACTACTCCCAGTGTGATGACAACCTACTTTACTGTCACTTTTGAAAATTCTGTTCGCAAGTCCATTCCAAACTACAACACCAAAATCACCTTCGCTGCTCTTACTTACGGAGCAGACATCAGTAGACAGATTATTTAGGATAGATTCTTTCTTATAAATGAAGTTTCCTCAACCCCCTACTGGAAAAGAAACTTACTTTCACAGACGTAGATAATTAGATTTGTGACGTTTGACATGGTGCAAAATACAGATTGACACAAAAACAATTCCTTCTTTTACACCTGCTTACTGAAACAAATTGATCTTCAGCTCCGTTCCCTTGGGAAAACAAAAAAGGCGTACAGGCTTCAATAGATTTACAAATAAGGAAAAAAGCGAGCGCGAATGAAGTGCAACCCTCGAATCTGTAATTCGAAAGGGCGAATAGGCTCAGGGTGCATAAAGGTCGCACAGTCTCTATAGCTCAAGCTCAGCAGAGCGGAGGCAGAGGGGCAAGCGGTATGGCTACCATGGTACTGGGATAGATCTGGGATCTGCTCTCGTCGACTGGACCTTTCAGGGATGCTCTGAGGCAGGTCATATGACCGGGCCTATCTGTGGAAAGAGTAAAAACAATGTCGCCTGACATCTGGTAATACCTCTGGGCCCTCACGTAAACCCACTACCCCACTACCCATGCAAATATGTCTAGAGTTTTGAATAGGAATCGGATATGTGGCGCACACCAAAAAAGGAATGATTAGGAGCTAGCCAATTGAGCTCTTCAACCAGCCTACGTAAGAGACGTTGATAGGGAAGTAAGTCACCTCTGTTGGTGTGGGCACTGGTACCTACTAATGCGCCGTGCAGTAGACTTGCAATATGAATCGCAGAGGTGATGCAAAGCATAACTTGCATATATACAAGGTTAAGAACAGTATAACTGTTTTCCAAAACAGGGCCAGTTCAAATGAAATAAGGGTGGTATCACCACCAACTGATAATGCCACACAAATCGCCAGTGGAATAAGTCAGGCTTTCCAGGCAGGGAAGTAAAATTCTGAATTAAGTATGAAACATTTCAAATTGCTATTATGTTACCCACAAAATAGCAGGTTAGAGAGGGATCGTTGAGCGACGGCTATAAGTAGTGTAGGGTACCGAAGAGCAGTCAGGTTTTAATGATATGTTACTTGGCCAACAACAAAATTTGCACAACCAACCGAAGATTCGCTGTGCACTTTTCATTTGCAAAAATTCTCGTTCTTCTAATGAATACCCACAGATAGACACGTAAAGGCCCCCACAATCATCATGAGCACCTTTTTGTGTGCAATTTTCACCCGAAAGAGGGGATGTGGTATAAGTATATGTAGGTGGCGCACTACCACACACCCATGGCCCAATCATTAAGCTCGGGACCGATCAATCGCTCAGACCGACCAAGCCTCCCATCGAGATACCAGGACTCGCCTGGGAGGATAAAAGCACTGACTTGTACATCGGCTTGTCATTGCAAGTGATTGTATGGGCCACCTACTATTCCAAAAACCACCACGACTCTGAAAGGAACTGAACGCGGGGCGTAGACATAGGATTGTGGGTGATAGAAAGTGACAATAGCTGATAAGCGCTGACTAAAGGTTTCGTCAGCCTGTAGCAGTTGTCAATGGGCATTCGTTGATAGGTTTTCATCTCCCAACGAAAATTTGGTGTTATTGGTGAGTAATTGTTCTAACGGAATCATTAAATCCAACCCCTCGAATCGTCTTTGCCACGGGCCTGACCTCAATGACTGAATGTCAGCAGAGGTCCAAAGATGATGCAGGCCTATTTCAGCTTGACTCATCACTGAGAGAGGATACGAAAAGGAAGGAAACAGCTGGATTTCTCAGCCTTTATATGGAAAGTAATCAGGTTCAGTGAAGTGTTGCTTGTTTCTAGGCAAAACCATCGAACTGGTAAATTACATAATAGTAAACATGACATAGGACAAGCAAACAGTTATTGTTACATACATCAGCCATGCCTAGCCAAATAGTCATAAAGAAGTATGAGACTTTTCCAAGAAAGTCGGCACTTTCTAGGTGAGCAGGACAAGAGTTGGGGTTCCTGGTACTACTTCAGATGGGAGTCTCAGGTGGCTTCACTTTGTCAATGGAGAAACTTCTCATTAAGTTATTTTCTCTAGAGGGCTGCATTTGAGAGTATTTCACTTAAAATTGGCCATAAATTCTCACCAAGCAGATTTACCCAAGGATATCTTTCCTCCACGGGTTCCCACATACCTGCCAATTTCCGCCCATAGCTAAACTGTGAAAAGCCGTGAGAACTTCTCATTTAGCAATATTCTAGTGAAAAAATGTGAGCAGGCATAAAAAGTGACTTCTCATACGAAAATTATCTCCCAGACATCTTGAGGGATTTACAAGGTAAACACTACGTATAGGTTACAAATTAGTTGCAGGTGCTACGCCTGACATGTGTTGATGATTTACAGGCGCTTGTTTTTCCTCCCTTACCCCCTCATTACACGTAATTGCTCCACAAACCAAAAGTTATCTAATTTGAAGGTTTGTTTAATTTATGGCCCACAAGATTACGGTACGAACTAAACCTTTTTTGGAGATGGAATGGGAGGGCTATGAAGATTTATTGACTAATTTACATTGGATTCAAAGAGAGCTCGTCAGATTCATGAAATGACGAGCTTCTACCTCCCTACAGTCGACGTCCAGTGCATCTTAAACCCAAATCACAGATGCGGTGCAAGGGACCCACGGGAGACTGTATCATGAGGGAAAAGCAGCAGTACCAACTGGAGCAGCATAGCTAATGAAGCACCCACATATCCATTGGAAGCCTTGCAGAAGTCCCACCCACCTACAAAACTTTCGGAACAACCTCCGAAGTACTCAGCAGTTCCTTTCTCCCAACTATCAAACAACAACTCGGGAGATTATTCATAGCTCTTATTGTTGGATCTTTGCAGCAGCCAAATTATATGTTCAGACATCCTTTCAAGTGGAATATTCATCTGTTCCAACCGTCACAACACCCATGTCTCATAAATCATTTCATGGGTAAGCATAGATGATAACTGATTACCCTACCCTTTTACCTGTACTTACCCATGATCATGGGGAGATTTGTAATCCTTAACAACTGATTCCTGATACTTGAACATTTGAAAGCATCGTAACATTTGAATGTTTGCAAAACATTCCTAGAAACAGCAACGATCAGAAACCGTACCTTTCGTTCACTCTAGGCTCGAATGCACATAAATTTTCTGTAGCTTGTTTACCACTGTCGAGAAAAGACTATGTTTTATTTTTCTAAGACGCCACAGCTAAATTACATTCACAACGTGAATTACTGATCATTAGCGTAGTCGGCGGGATTCTTTCGGTTGACTTTGTAGTTCGTCTTCTTGGCCCAGTCGTATAGAAGATAAGCGGCAATAGTTTGAGGGATATAGTAGTACCACTGATCCCATACATAAGTTTTGAAGACCTAAATCAACACAAAATAAATCGTAGGTACTTTGCTTTCAACATTTAATTAACCCGGTAGACAGAGTATAATGGCCTATTTGAGGTATTACCTTGACAATCGCTTGGTCAAAGAATCCCTTGAACGCCTTTTGCTCGTTTGGTGACAGAGCGAAGCGATATTCACCATACATCTGTAAAGCTGCCTTTAAATCGTTAAAAAGCAATGAAAATTGGCCCAACTGATTGGGGTTAGTGTTTGTATCCACTTCACATCTCGCCCGAGAAGGTCCATCACTAGAATTGGGACCCATAAACTGGGCAAAGAGCAAAAACTAGCGAATCCACTTCACGGGACTAACTGAACAGTTAAGGAGCCCAACACGAGATTCAAGATTATTGACAAGATTCAATGACTTAATTAATGATTCAAAAAAAAAAGAAGAGAGAAAAACACCTTTCCAAGCTGTCCAAAGTGTTTGCCCATAGAAACGGCGGAGGGACGCATTCTGAAGAGCAATATGATAAACAAAAATAGCGAATAAATATTAACAAATTCCCAAAAAGTACGAAAAAAAAAACCCACTGAAACCATGGAATA